CCAAAACCAACCATTTCAAGCTTCTAGATCGTAAGTACTCTTCCCTATACTTCATATCCAGTTAGCACTCATGCTTAGAGACTTGAAACATGCATTTTCCCAAGAACATCTTGAGTTTACGGCCCAAGATCTCCCTTGGCCGTAAACTCAATGTTGAAGCATGTATGGACCATAAACCCTATAAGATGCAAAGCTAGTGACCCAGAACCCTTCCTTGATGATTGAAGGACCTTAAACTTCACTCAAATACATAAAAGATTAGGAGTTTACGGCTGTAAACACCTTTAGGCCGTAAACTCATTAAAAGCCTCAATGAAGGTGGTCTTTTTCATACAAGTGTGGAACAAAAGTCCCTAAAGTTTCCCTAGCTTTCAAACCAACACTTAGCCATGTTTGACCATGAGTTTACGGCCGTAAACTCCCTTGGGCCGTAAACCCATGGTAGTAAACTCATGTTAGTGTCATTTCACTTCCCTTTGATGAATCACATGTGATTCCAACACTTGGTCAAAGTGTTTCCTAGTCCCGGAAGGTGTTTCCTTTCATATAGTTGTCTATAAACACTATATTCATGTCAATATGTATCCTTATATGTCATTTAGGACTTATTGTGTCTCGGGACTTCATTCGTGGAACTTCTCATCCTTACACGCATACCCGTTTGAATCACCCACATCAGGTGAGTTCATACCCCGTAATGAATCTTTTAACTGTTTTAACTGTTTTAAGGGGGGGAATACAAGTTGAACACAATGATAATTGTGTAAATGTTTGTTATAAACATCTTTCAAAATGTTACTTATGCCATTTATAAGTTGTCAAAACATTTCAAAAACTCTTTTAAAGTTATGTTGCTTTATAGTTATACAAAACTCCGTTTTTTTAAAGTACAAACATAACTTAGTAGATAAACGAGTCTTTTCAATAACAGTCCAAGTAGAACATTAGTAAACTATAATAGGTATAGTTTACGAGAATGCTATTCATTTCTTCTAGTACAATGAAGCATACAAAGAGTCAGTTCTTACATGAGTCAAACATATAGTGAAGAGAAACAAACAATACCATACAGAGAGAACACACAATTATGAGAAACAAACAGAACGTACAATATACAGTACAAAACAAACAAGTTAGGTTGCTATAGCATGAGAACACACAGGATCTAATTATACCAATTGATCACTAACTCATTGTTTTAAACAAAAGGTGATAGTTATATTGGGTATACGTGATCATATAACTTTAATGTGAATTACACGGCATGCAAGAATTTGCTGAGATCGCGTTTGGTTCCCTTAATCTCTTGACAGGGAGAGCGTTTAGTAGGGGTTCTAGCCTTCACATTATGACCGTAATAAAACGAACATGTTTTTAGGTTACCAGTACATCCGCAGGTCATTATAAACGACAACTGTGTACTTACATTTCCCATTACTTTCATAAAGTGACAGTACCACTTGAAAGACAAACTCAAACTATTTTAGAGTTAAGATAGTTATAAACTAGGGAAAACATACATTTTTACAAACGACAAACAGAACAGTCGAGTCTAGCACATAACAGTAGATGCCTTGGTAGAAGGTTACGTTTAATAGAAGATGCCTTGGTAGAAGGCTACGTTTAAAAGAAAGGGACCATAATGCTAGTCTTATGATTCCTTAATGTATACATCACAGGATATATATATATACCAATAGGGTCCGACAGGTAATAGGATGTGTGCTCTCCGCTTCATTTCCTGTTCCTTGTTTGGTTGTGGGCTTGGAACGAATTCACCCAATCTATTTTCTATTCGATTCTATATATATGTATGCTTAGTATACATTAAGTCATCATAAGGGTACCAGGTATGGGTCAGGTTATAGGACACAGAGTCAAAGCACAGTTTTTCCAGTACAAATCATACTTTCCAAAATCAGTACTTTTGGTATACAAAACTAGAAACTTCCCAGTAAAGGGTTTAATCCATTTTATTAAACCAGTACAATTTAAAGGACCTTAGGTGAGTAACTCTATAATACCTTAGTTTATACATCATGTTTATATATAAATCTAATACCCAAATAGGTAGTTGGATGTGTGCTTTCTGCCTTACTTCCTGTTCCTTGTTTGGTTGTGGGCTTAGGGCAGATTCACTCAATTAACTTTCTATCCGATATTAGATTATATATATCAGTATAAACTAAGCTATTATAAAAGTAGTCACTGTGGTCACCATTTTATTATAAGAATATGGGTTTTCTTAAAGAACTTTTTCATTAGATATAAAGGAACCATTACAATTAACTCCATGAGTAACAAGTGAGTACACCAGGGTTATATATGACGATGATCTAACAACCAATGGGATGTGTGCTATCCGCCTTAATTTTTGTTCCTCGTTTGGTTGTGAGCTTAGGGCAGATGCGCACAATCGATTGTTTGTTTACTCTGAGTCTTATATAACTTGTATCCACTTAGTACCCATAGAAAGGGTTGTAGTGTCATTTTACTTAAACTTCCATTAAAGTAGGAAATATAGGATTTTCTAGAGGAACATGCGAACTTTTCAAAACAGAACTTACAACTTACACCATTTTACATCTACATTTTCAACAACATTTTACAACTTACTCACATCACTAAAATCTTATGAACTCACCAGCTTAATTGCTGATCAACTCTTTCAAATAACTTGTATTCTCAGGAGACTATTAGACAGGTGCTCGTGCTGGGGATTCAGAAGATGGAGCATTATAGCTTCAAGTCTTATTTTGTTATTTGTGTATGAATTCTATGTTTTGTGAACACAGACATTGTAAACACTTTCTTTCGAAATGAAATGGTTGTTCATTACTTGCTTACCATATACATATCTCGTGATACTAAACATGACGTCCTCCACCCCTGAACGATTCCACCGTTCCGGTTTTGGGGTGTGACATGTGTGTATGTGTGTATAGTGTTGAAAAGTAGGGGTGAACAAAACCGAAAAACTAATAAAACCAAAACCGTAAGTTTTGGGTTCAGACTTCAAAAATCGAAAAAATTGTTTTTAGTTTCGGTTTTGGTTCAGAAACCGACCCATAATATATATATATATATATATATATATATATATATATATATATATATATTCTTTAAAAGATAAATAACTAAAATAAGGAACCTAACTCAACAAGTAATGATTGAAGTTCGGTGTTCTGATAGTATATTCATGTTGTGGTTGTAATAGATTGTTTATGTTTCATTGTGATGGTGTTTTCATGTTTTAGTTGTAACTTCTAAACTCCGTAGTTTTAATTTTTACTTGAACTATTTAGTTGATTTTGGTGTTTTTGATTGGTTTTAAATGGTTGGAACAATGGAAAAGAATCATATTTACTTTGTTTACATTTGCTAGAAAAATGGGTTAAAATCTCATACCCATGAACCTATGGGTTGAACCCAAGACAAAACCGAACCCAATGGGTTCTAAAATTAAAAAACCAAAATTAGCTAGTTGGGTTCGGTTTTACCCCAAAACCGACCCATGATCACCCCTATTGAAAAGTCAACATCTTGGTGGATGGTTTGAGGATGATCTAAAAAGTGCAGCTCTTAAGAAATATCGTGTAGATATAGTGTCAATTTTAGGCACAAACAAATTTGGAATATCTTTAAAAATGAATCCAAATGGAAACATTCAAGCACTGCATCTAGGTTGTTTAGGTCTTCATCAAATGCATAATCTTTCATTAATATGGATCATGATGAAGTTACAACTTGTCTCATTCGTAAAGATGCAGAAAAAGTAAAAACTATTAATTCCACTTCATCATTTGGTAACAGGTTTGATGAAATATTTGAGGAAACATATATAAGAAAATAAAAAGTTTCAAACGCTACCAAAAATCTTTGGATATGAGAATGCTTTGAAAAAAAAGTAAAAATTAATGAAGAAAATGAAAAGAATGAAGAGATTTCAATATTTTCATGAATCCTAGTACCATGTCAGAAGATGGATGCAAAATTTAAAGAAACTGTTGCGAAAAAATTAATATATATATATATATATATATATATATAATAAAATTTTTATTTTAGATATCATACTTTTTATTTAATGTATTATTCATAACCTTTAATTTCAAACTTGTAATATTTAATTGTAATTTTTAATTTCTAACTTTTAATTTCTAACTAGTAATATTTGATCATGTGTTCACTACTTGACCATCAATCATGTCTTTATGGAATCAGATCGGTGTCGGTGTTTGGTGAAATGTTCTGTGTCCCGCGGTGTATTTGGTTTCAGCTTCGTCTCTTGGTCCGATATAACTTTTTTGGATACTTTGCAAAAAAGTGTTTTGATGTGGTAGTTATCACCACGACTTTTTGGAGTTTGTAGAAATATTGAAACATCTTGCTCTTTAGAATGTCTAAATCAAAGAAAGAAAGACAATTTTGATGATATCGTGCCTACGTCTTTCTTTTGGATTAGTAATAGAAGAAAAAAAAATGCAAAATGTATTGAGATAGGTGGTTGTATAAATCATCTTTCAGCTTTAACCCCTAAGTAACTTTTTTTTGCTCTAGTTTATTGCTTGAGTTGTTTGTTTATATATTTCTACATTTCCCAAAAAAAAAACACTCTAGAGCAAATGTGAGAAAACCTAAAAGAAGCCCAAATTTATTACCATCATCATGTTTCACTACAGCAGATAATGATTGCTATGTTTTTGCCTTTTTATGGTTATCATAATTAAACAACTTAGTTATGCTTTGTAAGTGTTTACCAAATCTGATTACTCATGGAACTAACTAACATATATATGCCAGGAAAAATACATCTTATGAGAAGGAAAGACAATGTTATGAAATGGGAATAAATGTATTTCAAATTAGGTTAAAAAAAAAAAAGGTAAATGCGCCACCTCTTCAAGACATGAAACTAATTATTTGACCTTCAAATAATGTGAAAATTAAAAAACAGAAACCATTTATCCAAATATTAAAAACTGGCTATTACCAATAATCAGCTCCACAACACACAGTCGAAACAAACCCTAAAGCAAAAAAGTTACAAACTTATTAAAGCTTTCTATGAGCATGTTCTTTACATATGATCTATGTGAGAAGTGAGAATTGAAGTCCCCAGTACACAGAAATGATAAGGATGATGGCTACTAACAGGTACTGTTTTGGTTTAAGCTGCCATGCATCTATGTTTCTTGCAATATATGGCTCTGATTCAGACATTGTGGGGCCCATTACAATCTCCTCATGTTCCTTTTCTGTCTGAAAAGTGGAATACTCCATGAATAAGTAATCAACACTTTTTTTACTTAATAAGCTTAACAAACGACTTAAAAGAAAAGGTACCTGGATATTGGTTGATAGGGATTCTTTGATTTCTGTAGTGTTAACTTTATCACCATGGCTAACTTTTACAGCAGGATCTCCTTCAGTTTTCTTTACACGTTTTTTTACCAAGATTTTGTTCTCTTGCTTCAATGAAGATATCTGCATACACATATATAACACTATTAAGACAAAACCATAAAAGGGTGGGTTATGAAAAAGTTTGTAATATTAGAAACCTGCTTTTGAAGGCGTTCTCTTTCAAGTGCCATTTGCATAACAAGATCTGTTATCAACTTTGTACGAAGACTTATGTCTTTAGCAGTTGCCTTCTTGGATTCCTCCATTTGATGCAAAGATTCCTCTAAGCTTTTAATCCTACTTTTAGCAAAACTAAGTTCCTTTTTCAAGTCTGTGTTTGTCTCAGACAAGAAGATACACTTGTCCTCCACACTATCGGTCTCATTTTGACTTTTCAAAACCTTTTCCTTCAGGTCTTCAATTACATTATCCATGTCTTTAATTGTCGAATGCAGCATGATTTTTTCCTCTTGACTAGCTTCATAACATGCCTCCACATGCTGTAACTTAATGTTAATATCATTTACTTCTTTCTCAAGCGAAACAACTCTCTCATTAGCATCCTTGAGTTCTTCACATGTCTCTGTTAACAACCGAGACTTTGTTTCAGCATTCACAGCCTTTTTTTCTGCTTCAATAACTTTTTCTCTCAATTCTTTAATTGTAATTTCCATGGATGCTTTCTCATTAACCTGCTGAAGCTCGCTTTCTTTAGTTTGTTCTTTGAGTTTGACCAAACCATTTCTTAATTCAGCTTCTCGATGAAATGAACCTTTGAGATTGAACTGTAACATCTTGATTTCATTTAATAACTCTTTAGATTTTTCCATAAGGAGGTCAGATTTGTAATTTGCCTCATACAACTTCTCTAAGGTCATTTCAGCTTCCTCATGAGCATAAACAATTTCTTGTTCTGACAACTGCAGCCTTTTTGTCAGAGATTCTTTTATTTCATTTAACTCGCTCACCCTCTTCTCCAAATCCATTTCTCTCTCCCAAGATTTCTCAAGCATCCTTAAAATATGCCTCTGATGTTCCACATTTTGCAGTTTCATTTTCTCCTGAAGTTCTAGAAGATCGGTGTCTTCTAAGGACTCCGTGTTTTCATTCTCTCCACCAAATCTTAACAAGTTCCTCTGAAAGTTGGCAGATCGTATTTTTATTTCTAAAATCTGCTCCAGTGATTGCTCCAATGTTCTTCCAGAACCATTCAACATGTCTTCCATCCTCATGAGAGGTTCTTCTTCTCCAAAGGGTTTGCGTGAAGATAGAAACTCCATTACATTAGCTTTCTCTATCTGAAGATCAGATATGTGTTTCTCTAGTACTCTTACCTCTGAATCCAAAAGCCCAGATAAAAGATCAATTTCTAGTGCATTGACAACCAAAACGGGGTCCATTTCAGAAAGAAGGGCCTCAAAGGCATTTTCTTTAGTTTCCACACGCATTGAGAGTAAGTTCAAGTTGGCCAGCTTCTCACAAATATATGCTATTTCCACTTCAAATCTTTTTATAATCTCTACAGGGCTTTCAGAGTCTTGAACACTATCATCGCCAGAAGAAGTCATTAAAGATATGCTGCTTTTATTGAACTCTGATGATTCATCATCATAGTTGCTGATGGCATCCATTTTAAGCTTCCAGCTGTAACCTCAATCCAGAATCTGATAAAGAAGAAAGAGAAGGAGAGGACATGTTATACTTCTTACCATAAATATATAAAAATAATGAGCTTAGATTTTGCATACAATACAATCATTACAGCGGTCAATACGGGTGGACCTGTACTTAACAAACATTATCTTATGTCTATTAGACCATATGACCTAATATCCTAAAGAGAGTAGAATTTAAGCATTTAAGGTTTTATTGACTCCAGGTATAACGTATCCACCATTTCCTTACATTGATATGACTAAAAGATGTTTATTCTAGACTATGCTTCACAACTCTTTGCTTCATCTAGATAATTCCATACAACTTTACCAGTAATAAGGAAAGATGGAAAGATTTTTACCAGTAATAAGGAACAAAGTGCCATGACTATTCTGCATCCAGTTTCATAATTGCACATAATTAATCCATCTACCAAAAAGTATGAGCTACATCTGGTATTTATAGGTCATACAAAAGCTGGTTTTCAACTTCTAAATATGTGGTGAATAATATAGCTAATCACATTGAACTACATACTAAATAGTGTATATTAACGGTGTTAACTATTCAAGAAAACCCTAATTTTTTCATCTCAAAGGTGCGAGGTTTGCTAAACTGATATTCGAGGTGCAGCTCTTTTTTAGGAATGGAGAGACTTGAGCAACTAAAAACCTAAAACAGACTAATAGTGTATATTAATGGTGTTAAATGCAACCATAAACGAAACACAAAACGGATCATGCGCATGCAAAATTAGAAAACATGGGATTCTTGACCATTTCTACATTCACGTAATGATACTTTCTCGACCCCAAACGGAAAACCTAAGATCGAGAAAAAAAATTTGATATGAATTCAAGTAATTCCTCAGATGTGAGTATATGAGATAAAAACATGATGTCAACTACACAAACAGAAGCCGCCTCAAAAAGTTCATCCATAACTCTAAGGAAGTTCTGAACAATAAAATTACATCGTGAATTTGGTGCAATCAGATATAACACGTCAAATTAGAAAGAAGATGAAAACGAAAATCTGTAATTCGTGAAATTAAATCCAAAATCTACATACCTAATCCAGAAAATTATTCGGTTAAGGAAGCAGGAGAATGCTTTTGCTTTATGATTTGCAGTTCCGATTCGCTCCTCTGTTCATTCACTGTTTAGTGATCCCGTTTGCCTTATTGAAGAAACCCACCCGTTCCCCACTTTCTACGATAATTACAGAAATTGCCTTGAGGTTTTCGAAAACTACGAAACAGCCCCTGAAACCGAATATTCTTATGATGAAGGCCCATTTCATTTAGTACTTAGAGTTACTTTGCTCTCATAATGGTGTTAACTTTCACATCTCAAAAGCTCAATATACATAAAAGAAACTATGTATGATCATGTTTTCATTTTAATCGCTATATATTATTTCGATCAATGAAAGACACCTTTTTCGAAAGAGATTTTCACTACGCCCATTGTGATCTCTTATTCTTGGTTTAACAAGCTTTAAAACTAACATGACGTCTTATTTACCTACATGACATCATATGTACCTTATGAAATAACATCATACTTCTTGAAATGGTTTCTCATTTGTCGGTTTAACAGATTAAACATATACCATGTAGGTAAATGAAAACTCATTTTAAAAAGTTGGATGTTATTTTAGAAATTACATGACTCTATGTAGGTTAATCAGAATCGATGTTAGTTTTAACACCTATTAAACAAAAAATGAGGGACCATAGTGGTCGTTGTAAAATTTTCTTTTAAAATTGGTGGCTTTCAATTGAAATAGAATATACTTGTTAGACCGTAAAAATGACCAGACTATAATGGTTTTATGTGGCATTGTGAAAATGAATCTAAAAATCAGTCCTTTTATGCTCTTTTGCTAATATTATGGGGGTTGGAATGTTACCTTTACAACTAAAAGGTTCCTTTACTTTACTCAAAAAGCCAAAAGGATGCAAAGTAGAAATTTATTATGCCAAAACAACCGCTTTACAACGGCTCGCTAACACGTTCAAAACATGTTCATATCAATTAACAATTATATCACATCATTTGGTTTTAAAGTTTTGACCAAATGTAACATCAAATTGTGTTTATCAATAATCTCAAAGCTTACATCCACACACCCCTTAATCACATTTGCTATTATAAAACTTTCGGTTTATCTTTTTAGCCTTTTTTTTTCCTCAACATACAACATCAACCTTTATTTAAATTTCACAAACACAAAGATATTACAAGTTCTTGCTTCAAAAAGCTCCAAAAGGCAAAATTTAGCCTTTCACGTCTCCCAATTTTATGAACAAAAGACTCTAAATCCCAGAAAACTTCAACAGGGTTCTGATAAAAACTATCATAATCTTGAAATTTTGCCTATGTTTCAAGAAAATGCAAAGACTTTATACACACACACACAGAGCTTGAAAGTATATCTTTCAATGAAATCTTGGGAGTGTATAATAATCTTCCGTCACTCCCACCTGCATCATCACCACCATCGGATCCACATCCTCAAAACTATCTCTCCTGGATTTACTAAGTTTGAGCTTAATCTTAGCCTCTTTCAGTTTTTTCTCAAGTAAAACCACCTTCTCAAATGAAGCTTTCACCTCATTGCTACATTTGACTTCAGCCTTTTCAGCCCTTTGTTCAGCCTTCATAACTCGTTCTTTCATATCTTTAACCACAGCAGTTTCTTGATTTTGAAAGCCTGAATCTTTCTTCATCTTACTCATCAGTTCTTTAGTGATTGCCATTAGGATCTCAGATGTGTGATCAGCGCTATACAACTTTTCCAATGTGAGTAGAGTTTCTTCTTCAGCTAAAAGAACTTCTTGTTCTGTAGCTTGCAACCTCATTGTCAAAGCTTCTTCAATTTGAGCCAACTCAGATGCCCTTTTCTCAGATTCCAGTTCTCTTTCCAAAGATTTTTCAAGCATTCTCAAAATATGTCTTTGATGTTCCACAGTCTGGACATTCATTTTGTCTTTCAGTTCAGGAAGATCATTGTTGTTTATCTCCACTGAATCATCCTTGTCTGCACCTGAAAAGTGAAAACCCATTAAAGAAATCAAAATCCCAATTAGTAACATTTAATTTCAAGAAAACAAGAATTAATATTAGTACTAATGTAACTTACGGGGTCCTCCTCCAGCAAATCTTGACACAGTTTTCTCAAACATGCCAGCTCGTGTCTTTAATTCCGAGAGCTGATCCAATGCTTGTTGCAATGATTTTTCTGAATCATTCAACATATCTTCTGTTTCCATGGAGGATTCTCCTAACATTTTGCTTGAAGAGACAAAATCCTGCATGTTAGTTTTTTCCATCTGAAAATCAGATATGTGGTTCTCTAATACAGTCACTTCGGAATTCAGAAACCCATATAAGAAGTCAAATTCCAGTGCTTTGACTTCCATGTCACTTTGGTTTTGATTTGTATCAGATACAAACGCTTCAAAGTCGCTTTTTAGAGTTTCCATATGCATCAAGAGTAAGTTCAAGTTGGCAAGTTTCTCACAGACACATGCCATATCAAGCTCGAATCTTGTTACAACCTCTCCAACACTTTCTAACTCCTGAAATGTATCTGCAATTGATGAACTCCTTCTGGATATGGTTTTAAAGAATTCGGATTCTGGCCTACAAGAGTAGACCGATCCAGCAGCAGAAGATGGCTCATAACCAAAGTGCATATCCATCTTGAGATGTAAGAGATCAGATCAACACACACCTGATAGAAGGGAAAAAGGAAGAGTGTATTTTAATATTTTATTACTTCTAGAGCCATGTGTAGATTGTACAGGCAATACCATTGTTAGAGGGATGAGCATGTATATCATGAAATTACGTATATAATGCAATTGTTATGTTATGTATAAAGTCTTTTGTGGGAATGGAGAAACTTGAGCAACTAAAAACTTAAAACAGACTAATTGAAACCATAAAGGAATCACAAAGGGATCATATGCAAAATTAGAAAAAATGGGTTTCTTGACCACTTCTACATTCACGTAATGATATACTTTCTCGACCCAAAATTAGCCTAAAAATGGAAAACCTAAGATCGAGAAAAAAACGTTTTGGTACGAATTCAAGTAATTCCTCTGATGTGAGAATATGAAATAAAAAAACACGATATTAACTGTACAAACAGAAGCAGCCTCAAAAATTTCATCCGTAACTCTACGAAGGTTCTGAACGATAAAACTACACCGTGAATTTGGTACAATAAGATAGAACACATAAAATTAGGAAGAAAACGAAAACGAAAACGAAAATCAGCCATTCGTGGATTTAAATCCAAAATCTACATACCTAATCCAGAAAATTATTCGGTTAAGGAAGCAGGAGAACGCTTTTGCTTTATGATTTGCAGTTTTGATCCCGTTTTCTTTATTGATTCTTTCGTGTTCTAGAAAATGAAATTTCGTCGTAAATTAGGTAACATCAGATAGAACACATCAATTTAGGAAGAAGATAAATATCTGACCAACGGAAACATGCAATCGTGAATTTGAATCCAGAATCAACGTACCCAAATCAGATATGTAATGGATTATGGAAGGAGAGATTGGTTTTTTGGGATCACAGATTTCATTTCACGCCTTTGGCATTCATAGGCATAGGCGCGGATCTGTTTCCTTTTCAACGTTTCCCTCCTTTTTTAACATTTACAGTAATGACCCTTAGGTTTTCCAAAAGTTAAATAAAGTATCTAACTATGGACAATTTTACAATGAAAGTCAATATCATTTACTAATTAATTCATTTATAGAGATGACAATGGAGGTGCCATCCCTAAATTCTCATTTTAATCTTCGTCCATATCCCCACCGGAGAATATAAATGAATCATCATCCCCACTCTTAACGGGGACCGGGGATTGGGGATTTCTTTTTCTTTTTTTAATATGAAAACTTTTACGTAAAGAAAACTCTAAATTTCAATTTATCTATCTAAGTTTAAAGATTTTAAAAAACATAAAATATTCATAGATTGTATAAAAACTATAAACAAATTTTCTACCAAATTTAAATACATACATAAAAAATCAAATAGAAAAAAATTATCAAAGTGATATTTGAGGTAAAATAAATAAACCAAGGAGAAAAAAAATTATACACAAGTTTAAATTAGATAAAAAAACGAAAAATACAATTTCAACCAAGTAATGACTAATGAGTTTGGTTATTTGAATAAACTTTTAGATATTATAGATTATACTATAAATATATGTTTTGTATTATTTTTATATATTAATATACATATATTGGATCCGGGTCTAGGGGTATCCCCATCCTCATCCCCACTTTTTTATTCAGGGATTCCTCATCCCCGTCCCCATCCTCGGTCAACTTGAGGATTCCCCCGGTCAAACGGGTGCGGGTTTCGGGTTCCTCGTTGGGTATGGGGATTTTTGTCATCCATATTTATGTTAACATAAATTAATACTATAAACAACGTATGGTGTGTCATGACGTCATATATATCAAGGTCTAAAAAAATAGTTAAAGTGTATAAACATATATATCAAGGTCTAAAAAATAGTTCAACATGTTCCACGTCGAAACGTGACTTCGTCGTCCCGAAAACACTCATAGATTTGTTGAAGGCGTGGCACACGCCACGAATTGTCTAAAAACTTTAAGATAAATTTTCATCGTTCTCTTGGATGGTTATCTAAATAGATTGTATGCACTGTCAACTACCAGGTCCTTGGTTTTTCGAGGTTATGGAGAAGGGGGTTTTCTTTGGCGGAGAACTAAATGTCATTTCGGACAACTACGTATCTCACTCTTAGCCATCCCTATTTGAAACATTCAGCCAAGATTCGAACTTTGGCCCCCTCTATGGGGAGGTTACCATTTCCCTCTTCAATTGTTGGGCTACTCGGATGGTGATTCGTCTTCAACCCAATAGATATCTATAATGAAGTCATTAAATTTACTTTATATGCTTAGAGCTATACTTTGCAAAAAAAAAAAGTTTCATTTTGTTTGTTTGTAATATTTGTATTTTAGCTTTAAACAAAAAATTGTTAATAAATAAAAATAATAGATAAATAATATAATATGATATAATAGATAAAGGAGTAATAATAATAATAATAATAATAATAATAATAATAATAATAATAATAAACTAAATTAAAGG